AMRTYTTGWSMRTTAAAASCAGYWRATWGGGGCCCAGCACCCGTTGRTWTTTWACACTSTRMATGYAWTTKTTGTGCCGAAWTGAWKAAWWTKAATKTTTCATATAMATGAAATAAAAAAATACATTTGTATTTTTTTAGTATTTGGCAATCAGTATAAAAACGAATCWATGTACCAATTGTGCAATTTGTCAATAAAATGCAAGTCAATAAAATTTAATTTGCAAAAAAACGTCGTTTGTTATACATTTTTGTATATTTATTGTTAAGCATTTCAACCAAAATCTCGGATTTTCCTCATCATTCTCTCTCAAACATTTTTTCACCCGTTTTCCAGAGGCTTTTCTACTAAATATTATTACCATATTATTATAATAATTTTGTAATTAGGCAAGGAAAAAATACAAACACATAAAATGGTAATTTTCGCAGACGGAACATTCCAACCACTGGAAACAAGAGATTTTGTTAAATTTTGAATAATCTAAACTATTTTTAAGTCAACTTTTCTAATTCTATTCGCAGAGTATGTCTCAATATGCCAATATGTCTGTAAAAATGTTTTACTATGCTTAATTTTTTGCTTTAATCGAGTTTTTAATTTGCTCATATAATACAAAATCTAGAATCTAGAAAATCTAATCTAAAAATTATTTAAATAAAACATTATAATGAAGATAAAGTCGCCAAATATAACTAATTTAAAAAATACGTTTGTGATTTGAATAGTGAATTAGACTCAGGAGTAAAAAAGGCTTCTCGGAAGCAAATTCCTCTGTAACCAATACCTGTTGTCTGATTGCAGCCGCAAAAATTACAAAGTTTGAAACATTTTCTATGGCATTTATTATTAGTACAGTTAATAGGATTTACAATATATTTGAAACAATAATAAACAAAATAACATAATAACAAAATATATTTAGAGAACCACAGGTCAGACGCAAAACCGCTTTTTTTATTTACTTATTTACCTCCTTGTAGATATTTCAAGTGAACGACTTTTTACACCCACAATTATAAGTTAAAATATTTAACAAAACAGATATCAACCCGACAATCAAGATAAAAGTATACATTTTAAGGCATAACTGAATTTATTCAAACAACATTAGGTGCCCCGTGATTTTTAATTTTGTTGGTGAAAATTTTGATTATTCACTTGCATTTTCTCAGAATGGTCAGTCCAAAGAGTTATTCTTTCACCACCCTCGCTTGAAGCTAGTGAGTCTTGTGGACTTTTAGAGCTTCGAAAAAATATTCTTGCCGTTTCGCAAACCCCGGTGCATTGCATCTTCAGAGGAGGTTTATTAAGATCATGGACCAAGTCTGAAGATGCAAGCCGCTCGGAATTGAGAAACGTCAGCAAGAAATTATTGTTTACAGTGTGCTCACTGAAACCTGACCAAGCTCTATGTATATTTTGTAGACTCGGTGTAAAATAATAAGCTTCAGTGAAGAATGCAACAAATACGAATTTGTCGCTTCAATTTCAGGTAAACCTGAAAGAACAAGGTCGTCTTCTAAGACAAAACGAATTTCTGGTTTGGGAGGGAAGAAGTGGCAAGAAGTCGTTGCGACAAGTGTTCCTATTCGAAGAACTTATACTGTTTAGTAAGGCTAGGCGATTTCCAGACCGAAAGGTTCGTAACCCTCCAAAACACCAGGACACTTAGACCTACTAGGAAACAAATATTTTCAGAATCTTGACCTGTATATCTACAAGAACAGTATAAAAATGACGGACATAGGACTGACCGCTCGAATAGGCGAAACCCCTACCAAATTCGAAATTTGGTTCCGTAAGAGGAAACCGAATGATACCTTCACTCTTCAGTCGATGTCTGAAGACGTCAAGAAAGCGTGGACCGAAGAACTATCTCAGCTGCTGTGGAAACAGGCAATCAGAAATAGAGGTAGAAAAATCCTACTTAACCAAAGCTCAGATAAAAAGATAATTTTCCAGCTGTACGTATGGCCGAGATGTCCTCCATGGGCATAGGAAATAAACCGTGCTTGGATATCAGACCTAGTGCAGACCAAATCAACGATAGGTCGATTAGTATTGCACAACTTAGCAAAAGTAAGTGAAATTTAGCGAAGACTTTCAAATTGCATGTGAATGTAACAATTATAATATCCCAATTTAATTTCTATTCAGTACTGATAGTTCCTATTAAAACATCCTAAGCTCACCATATTATGGCATCAACATGCAACGCAAGAGGCAAACTGCTAATGTTAAAATGTACATATTTTTTAGATTTCCATTCAGATTTCTGCACGATGACAAGAAAATGGCGTATTAATGCAATGTTACTTTGTAACAGTTTAAAAAGTAAGTCGATTTTATGAAATACTTATTTTTGTGTATAGAGATAAGGAAACTTATTAGTCTATGTCATTGCGTTAATTCGTCATTAATGGTAACACAGAAGCCCGCCTAATTTTGTATTTACGTTCCCTTATGGTTTTTTTCTTGGGTTGGGTTAGCTTTAGTTGAAATTTCTCTTAACCGGTTCACTCTATTTTATCTAATTACTTGCATCCTTTCTGGACAATAATCATCCTTATCATTCCTGAAGGCGTTTTGCTACTGTTAATTACATCGCATGTTAGTCGCGCACTTTGTCAAACTGCTGATTTTATCTCAATCCTGCATGAGTACATTTTAAATCCCTTTTTTGTTTTTCTTCGATCCACAGCTGCACCAAGATTTCGCAACTCGATTGCAGGTCCCACCCCGGAATCCTGCAGAACTATTAAGCGACCTCATTCTGTTATTTCGGTATCGAGTGTCTCCTCCGGTAGCACCAGTTCTGGTGGGTCTGGAGGACACTCAACCAGCCAGGGGCATTCTAGTATCGGATTTGACTCGAACTATGATAGTCCGAAACCGTATCGGTCTGCTACACTTAATAGTCAATGTTCTGTAGGTAAGTGACATTATATTCTCTATGTGTGACTTCTATTTCGGCAATTTAAATGCATTTTAAGTTGTAAAAAGCAACTTTTTAAAATAGTGATGATTTAGGCACCGCAATGAAAATTAATGTATCAATTTCTGCAGAAAGTGGCATCATAGCTGACATATCAGTTGCATCAGATGAATATCCCGAGCAATCGCAGCACTCCAATTCTTAGAACGCTTTAAAAAAATTAGACAAAAAAATTGTTGACTGTTTTAAGTCAGTTTAACCCACACCATGTGCCAGAATCTACCAACTAGCTTTAAGTTATTTTTAAGTCTGATCATTGATTATTTTCCTTTTGAACTTAACTACTACTTTGGTTTTACTAATGTACCCCGCTATGTTTTTTTACAAAGATGTTTACATTTTTCTGTAAATATTAAGTAATATTAAATCACAAAATATAATTTATTTTAACGGTCGTAAATCGTGTTGTTACAGATCTATATATGTTTACTTAGGTATTTTAAAGTTCTCCCCAATAACGGTTTAGTTATTAGTCATCAATAGTACCTAATCGATTAACAAATTAAATTTTTTCGACTGCATAATCTGATTCTTCAGGAATACCGAAACGAGTATAAAATTCTTGGTTATTCAAAGCACTTACAAAAAGTTTATTTCAGCGCCAAAAAATACATCATATTGTTTTATTAATAAATAATAAAATCAATTTAATTTAACGATTGTTTTATAAGCAATTTTCAGAAGTATTCCAGCTTTACTTAGCAACTCAGTTCTTTTAAGAACATCTCTATAAAAATTTAGATTTTGGAAATTGCTTATAGCCTATTTTCATAAGATAATCGATTGAATTGCATGGTAGCTCATAAAGTAGTTATAGCTTGTATTTTTATACTTCCCGAAGTTTCCTCATTTCAAATTGCTGTTATCAACATTTAGCCAAAATTGTATTCGCCTAATAGGTATTTTCTTTTGGACAACTACACCGAATATAGAAAACGCGGATGGACTTTTAAGTAATTCATACGATGTAATAAAATTTGTATAATGCAATTTTTATATTCACAATAGTCATATTACTATATAAATATGTATAAAACCATATCGACTTGTTTTATTTTCCATGCCCTAACGTATGCCGTCACGTAAAATTCATGCACAAGAACACATTTTCAGTGGTTTATAAACTTACTATCTACGGTACTTACTTGTAGTTGGATCTTCGTTGATTCAACCCCAATCTCAAATGAATATAAAGCACTTTCTGTCTTTTGCAGGCCTTTATCAACACAGAAACATAAAAACGTCCGTACATTTATGGGTTCCGAACTTCGCAACCGCCGAAATAATATGCAACTCTTTGTAATGGAAAATAATATGCAATTTTTCTCAAACATTTGCTTAATTATTATTTTAAATTGTAATTATTAACACGAGCTGAAATATTTCTCTTGCAAAACCCGAAAATACTCCGGACGAATAACAAATACACCTGCATGCGTATATGTAAGGACGAAACACAATTGGTTTAAAAACTAGTTTCAGCCTGTATAAAAATTATACAAGGTGGTTCAAAAGTATTTTGCTTGCATTACAAACATTTTCTCATTCTGTATGTATTCTGTTTTACCAACGACCCAAAAATTAGGGTCCATAATTTAAACTGCATATTTTTCGACTCGAAATAACACACATAATTAATAATTGTCAAGTAATTCATACCAGATTGCCAAAATGCCTCTTGACTTTACTCATACGATTAGATATAATTTTAAATTTTATATTACTATTTCCAAAGAGTTATTAGCTGTAAATAAAAAACAAAAAAATATGTTTTACACCGTGAATCTAGCAAATGAACGATTTGCGTACTTATCGTGATATGAGCTGTTGTATTTTTCTATGGTACAATTATTATACAGGGTGTCCCGTAAGCACATGATCAATAGGGTACTGCGATATTCTTTGAATCAAAATAAGACGATCTGACCTAACTTTTGTTAACAAAAAATGTCTGGCTCCTCTGCTATTAATGCTCAATGATTTAAAAAAAAAATTTTTTTTAATGTCGGGAGAATGGTACGATGTATTTTGGTGAAACTCGCTGTGAATTTGTTCTTACGTAAGACTCATATTTTGATGAAACAATCGAGTTAAGCCGTTTTTGACACGTGATGAATTCTTGAGTGTCGTAGTACAAAAACTACCAGAACTTTTTATTTGGTGTATGAAATAAACTCATTTTTTTTTTGTTGATGCACTAATCGTTTATTCACAATTTTGAGCTCTTTATACAATCTTGCCTGCAGTAGTGTTAGATTGAAAATGCAGTAAATAGATGAAAATATGGAAAAGAATAGTCGCGCAATAAAATATGAAAAGATAAGTTTGTTTCGGAATAAACTAGAAAGTGATAAAACACTCTGCGCTTTCGTAACGAAGAATTTTCGATCTTGTTTTATTGTGCATACATAATTCACCGAATTCTGACTAATGTTGCATATAAAACCACTTGACTTATTTCAACTATTTTTTTAAAAACGCTCTATATTCACTAGCACTTTTATAAAACGTGTTAAGTTAATCATTTTTGCTGGATATTAATTAAATATGTTGAAACTACTTAGCTAATCTACTATGTAACATAAATGTTAAATGTGCATTAGTTCGAAAATCGAAAATTTTCTATTTTGTGTGCAAATAACTAATACTAAATTATATCAATTATTCTGAACTACACGCTTAATTATATCGTAATTCTAAGCAATATTTTTTTTAATAAGCGACAATTGCAATAAGTTGTAACTAAACTAGGTAACTAACGCTCGAAAAACCTTCGGATTCTTCAGATATCATTCTTTTAGGGGTCTAGCCAAAATAACGAAATAAATTACCGTATTTCCAAATCAACTTAATTTTAATTTTACCTTGTTTAGTATCAACAATATTTGCTGCATCCCCTGCTCTCACCAGTTGATCAGCTGCCTTGTTTTGAACCATTTTCCATAAATCTGGATGTTTCGCCATAATTGTCCAGAAACTGTGTCGATCTAGTTTGTAAATTTCGCAAGGAGTGACCGCAGTTACATTTCCATTCTGAAAAATGTAATTAGTCTCATTATAGCTGAGAAAACTGCTTTCAACGTCTAATTTAATAAATGCACGCATATTGGTTTTAAATCGTGAAAAATTGTGCTTTCCATTTTATGAATTACCTTTTCATGTAATTTATTTTTAAAGTTAATTAAATGAATCATTCAATTTTTGACTTTCTATTGCTTGACACAGCCCAAACTTAAATTAAGAGATCGTGAGTGAAACTTACTCGGAATAAATTGAAAGCTAAGGCTACTTCTCCGAAATGACTTCCATCCCGCAAATAACACACTGCTCGATCTTCTGACGTTGTAACCACAACTGTTCCGGCTAACAGAATAAACATACACTGACCTGAAAAAAATCATAAATCTTAACAAGCCAAGACCTAGAAATGGTATGGTAAATTTACCTGCATTACCAGCCCTAATGATAATGTCACCAGGCAAAAATATTTCTGATACCAAATGCGAGCGGATCCTTTTCAATAAATTTGCAGGAAACTTGCCAAACATGTCGATGTTTCTGATGTTTTTCTTAGTAGCGGCCAGCAGGATTTCTCTTCTCAGAAAGTTTGATGTTGCTTTTTTTATTACTGACTCCTGAAACCGTTTGTTAATTTTCATTCAAATTCAAGCAAATTTGAATGAAAAATGAGTAATTACTTTATAAAAATGGCCCTGATACTTGAATTCTAGATATAGATAAATCCTCTTCCGAAGAGTCATGGGCAACGCCTTATATCGCATATACGCATTTACCGAATCATACACAGTAATTTGTTGGTTTCCAGCATTAAAATACTTCGACCAAATTTGTGTCGTCTAAAAACCCAATTCGGAATAAAATAATTGGCCCTCTCGTCGGCCAATTACTGAAAAGTTTAATTTTCAATCGCCATGACACGCATTGATTTACCTCTACCAGAATGGCCAAGTGTAGGACGAAGCCGAGCAAGATGAACGTATTGGAAAGAATCAATTCCGCTAAGTATTCCTTGTTGTGGTGGCCGTTACTAACCAGCATCAACATTTTTAAAGTGGCTTCTGAATGTTTGAGGAATACTCCTCCTGAGTGATTAGGTACATCAGTCTGAAAATAAATAATTAAACAATGAAGTGATGATTTAGATCAATTTTTTAAAGTTCTATGACTTGAAAATTACCATTAATTTTATTTCAATCACGTCATTTTAGTATTTTACCAAACTATGACAAAAAACACCGAGAAATGAGCAAAAACGGGTCGGAAAACTTGAAACTTCGTCCTAATATTGCACATAAATGTCTAATATTCGAATTTCGCTTTCTGGGTCAAAACTGCCCAAATTTCCTCACACATATTGTTATAACTGAATCGAATTTTCACTTATAACTGAATTAATTGAATCAATGCACTTGCCAAAAATGAAAAGGAAATGTAGATGCAAAGAACCAGTCCAACTGTAATATGGAGTATTAACTTCACCGCTTTATAGGTGAAGGTACTGAAGCCATAGTATAAGCGAAGATTTTGCAGGACTTTCAGACACCAAAAGTACCTGGAAATGAAAAAGCAACTGAAAATGTAAACGTTTTTTGTTATAATTTACTGAACCTGCCTGAAATATCTGAGAATGACCAATATTGGCGTGGTCATGTGGAACGATTTCCTCTGAAGCGCTTCATCCATTCGAGAGAATCGTAATATTTGAGGCAGAAATGAAAGAATGTCGAATATAAAATATGTGCGCAGGTAGCGTGCCGCTACATATCCCGTTTTCATAATTACTACGTTGTGGGTTTCGTCGTAGCATCCAGTACTGAATGTTATAATTATCAGGGATATAAAGACAACTATAACAAAATAGATAATGTGAATCAAGCGAAATGAAAAAAATATATTCGTATCACTTACGATTTACTGGAAGCAAGATTACATTGATTATCCAATTGCTTTCCAAAAGGGGATAAACTACTGGTGCAGCAATGAAATGCATTATTAGTATCACCACCACTAGCATGTTAAAGTAAAAGCTGAACATGCTGAAGGGGTGAATCATATAGTAATGTTCTACTAGATGAGACTTTTCAGCTTCTTTTAATCTGTTGAGGGATGGTGCGTAGGATTTGGTGAGTGGGTGTCTTTTGTCTATCATAGTTGACCTGGAAATTGTCCAATAAAAATTTATTAGTCTGCGAATTTCCGTAGTCTTTCAGCTCAATAGGTTCTTAATGCATTTCACTTCCACATTTTACTTTTCAAGTTATTTCACATATTAAAAACAATGCTTTGATTAGCCCAAAGTAATGATTAGTACAGGAAAACCAGTTGAATAAATTTTTTTATTATTATTTGAATTGCTTATGGTTTCAGTCATATTTCACTTCGTCCCTTAAGATCGATTTTATGTTTTTCTTATACAAATTTGAATTATGAGTATGAATTATATATTATTTCCAAAGTCTAACTGCTGATCAGTAGAAATACTGAAGACGATTAACTTATTAAAACAGTGAAATTAAAAATTACAACCAATTTTAGTGTTTTTTAACACTTGAAAAATCACAGCGCAAAATTTCAGAAATTAAAAATATTAAAAATCAAGCAAAAGCGAAAAATAATCACACGATCTACATGCAAATACATAATAGTACTATAATATTTTGTAATCATGATTCAAATAACTATTAAGTAAAAAACCATTTTTTGAATTCCTCGAACATATTTGCGTACAGTTTTGCAGCCCTTCCACTGAAAAGGAAACGATTTGTAGGAATCAATAGTCACAAATTTGTTTTCTCATTAGCCATTGTTTTACACACGCCACCGTACCTTTGTCTGCATTCCTTTTCCTATATCCTAATTCAAATGTATTTTCTTTGGCTTCATTTTTCTATTCATCCAGAGTTAAACTGTACCAGGCTGCAGCTGCCATGTGAAAAAATTGGGAACAAATGGACTCAGATGCAAGCTTATTTTTAYAATGSCGTTTTGAACAAAATYATCCRWTAATCCAAACAATTTATTAARTCAATAAWRAGTTTGAWAATGTGTGGAATRCAGCGGTAATATTAGGAAATAATTGCATTAAAGTGATAATAGGTATAACAAAGGGAATTCCGTACATGATAKATATTATTCAATATATTCAATATTCAATTTTTCATTCAAAACCCATAAAACTGGCTTGAACATCGTTTACACGCTCAAGCCAACGATTCCATCTGAAGTGAATTTAGTTTTTAGTATCTGTCTTCGTTTTCGAGTTATTTGCACAAATATAAGTCCATGTAGGGTTCCTGGGTGATTTTCCATAAATTTTCTTATAATTTCTTAGCGTCCTTTTGTTCAAATTTTTTTGTGAAAAAAATTAATTTCGTTTATTACAGCGTTACATTTTTGTATATTTTTATTTGGATTAGCTTACAGCCGATAAACCTGAATTATTGTAAATTAAATTGAAGTAAAAAAAATAAATTTTAAAGTTTAAACTCGTGCGCCATCCCTATTTTAACCTCTACTTGCACTTGAAGCTTTCAGAGAAAAATGTGAGCAAAAGGACACACAAAAAATATTTAAAAAAACGGTGTGCGTCACGGGACGCCCGACAGAAGTGATAACTTCATAAATTAATAGAAATCATAAAATATTCAACTTATTTAACGCATGATGGATCATGGATAATTTATAAATGGATCAGGAATAGGTAAAATTTCATTTAATTTCCTTTTGAATGTAAAATATATTTTTATTTGCAACATTTAACATGCTTTAACGAGAGTACATATTGCTCTTCTTGGGTTTGTGTAAACTCTTCATTTGAGTTTCTGTATTTTTTTCTCGTAATTTCTTATTTGCTT